TGAGGCCTTGGGATCAGGTTTCTTCAGAAGTGGCACAACTTCCCAAAGGTCATGGTGAAACTCAGTATCCTCTTTGAAAAGCTACTTGGGAGTTTGCTGATGTGGGCATCCACCCATTCACATGGGACTCCTCACCACCAGCTCTGGTCCCCTCCAAACAACCCCTCCCATCCTGAACTCTACTCTAAATATCAACACACAGGAAACAGGGCCTCCTTCTCCAGACCCACACCCATTCCTATGCACACAGAAGGCAGAGTCACTCACTCGGTCACACAAGGCTTGCATGTCTCTTATAGTGACAAACACAGACACCCAGACATCGAAGGCTAGAATCAAATATGAACAACATAGGGTGCTGAATTCAACTGCCCCTGCTCTTAAACACACACTCATATTGAAGACAATTATTTTCACATGGACACCAATATGGCAGAGTGGAAAAGACCATTGGACTTAGAGGCAGGAAAATTCTGGTTTCCAATCTTGCCTCTAACTCTTATGATCTATGCCTCAGTTTCACCATTTATAAAATGGGCAGAATACTACCCTATTACACAGGGTTTTGTGGGGCTCAAATGAAATCATGTAAGTTATGGTGCTTTGAAAATCATAACATATTTTATTTGATTTTTCAGCTCTAATTTCATTAGTATAAGGAACTAGTAGTATTAAGGATAGTAAGGATCTTACTATCTGCTGGATAGTGATGATATCCTCATCTACCAATGCAACTTAGCAACAACTGGAGTCATACATTACTCATATGTGTAAGACCTGGTTTGAGTCCTCATGAGAACTTAGACAAAGTCACAAGGGCTAATGGAATGAGTGCTGGTTGTGGAGTCTGAAGGTCTGGGTTCAAATCCTAGCTCTGATGCTTATTAGCTTTGTGATCCTTCTCAGAGCCTCAGTTTGGCCAGTCTCTAAAATGGGGACAATGACCCTTGGATGACTCATTTCACAGAGCTGTTGTAAGGAAAACATTTCAGAAACCTAAAGGCTCGATAGAAATGTGAGCGAGGGGCAGCTAGGTGGTGCAGTGGATAGAGCACCGGCCCTGGATTCAGGAGGACCTGAGTTAAAATCCGCCTCAGATACATAATAACACTTACTAGCTGTGACCCTGGGCAAGTCACTTAACCCCATTGCCTAGCCAAAAAAAAAAAATAGAAATGTGAGCTACTGCTCCCCGCTCCAATTCATCTTCTGGGCTCCTCAGACCATCTGAGGATGCTTCATCTGCGAAATGCCCACCATCACACTTGCACTATTGGCCTCACTGGGCTGTGGGCAGCAAACTGTACTAACACTAATAACACGTAACAAGGGATTAAGAGCACCCCCTCTTTTTCTGTGAGTGAGCTTCCCCAGGGGAAGCTGGTTACTCATATATATGCTTCTATGTAATAATATTTTTATCGTCCTTGAAAGTTTGCAAAGTACTTTACTCACACAACCTCATTTGAGCCTTATGTCCACCCTCTCAAGTAGGTACTATAGGTAGAATTGCCCACATTTTATGGTTGATCAAGGATCATAGACCTAGAGTTGGCAGAGACCCCAGAAGCCATATAGTCCAATCCCCTCATTTTTCAGAAGAGGAAACTGAGGCCCATAGAGGCAAAGGGACTTAGGACCATTGGATCTTAGATCCAGAGCTAAGAAGGGACCTCTGAGGCCATCCAGCCCAATTCTCTCATTTTACAGATGAAGAAAGTGAGGCCCAGATAGGGAAAGGGACTCACCCAAGGTCACACAGGTAGCAGAATTTGAGCCCAGGTGTTATTCTCTAGAGCAAGTGTCATGGACCCACATCTTAAAGTGTCAGACGCTAGAGCTTCTTGACCCCTTCTCAGAGGGATTTCTCTCTCACCCACTGGAGTTTTCCACAACAGTTTTGCACATGTGCACATGCAAACACAATCACATGCAATGCATGTGTGCGTGGAACACATCACGCACAAGGTACCATGTAGGCCACAGCTACATCAGAGAAAATCGACAAAATGCTCATTTAATGGTGGCATTAACCTGAGGAGTGTTCATACAGAGGTGGGTGGCTGGGATAGGCCCCTGGGAAGAAGCAGCTCTTGGGCATCTGTCTTCTGGGCACACTGCCCTCCAGAGAGCTGGCATCCAAGCAGGGTGAGGGCACCCCAACTCCCCCTCCCACCTTGATTTGCTAAAGAAAGACTAAAAATCAGTCCAGGGAACTGCATACAAAATACATTCAGAGACCCCAAGGCCCCTGGGCTCAGGATGTCCCCGGGTGTACAGATGTCCACACCCAGATGAAGACAAGGAAGCTGAGGGATTAAGTCAACTCAAGGAATGTGGGTGAGAGAGAATCAAGGGATTAAGGGCACCCCCTCTTTTGTGTGATTGAGCTCCCCCAGGGGAAGCTGGTTACTCATATGCCTCTTAAAAAAATATATTTCTTTGTTGGCCTCCAGCCACCTTTCAGGTATGCTTCTGTCCTGGGGGTGAGCAGAGGATGAAGGGAGAGGGAGCATTCTGAATGGTGGGGGAAGCTTCACATGATGGACAAACAGTCAGAAAGAATCTGTGGACACGGTATGGCTTCTGCATCCACGTTGCAGGGAGGGAGGGCTGGCAGGTGGCACTGAGGACCTTGGTGGATGAGAAGATGAGGAGGAGGGCTCTGGGCTGGGGGATGGGCTGCACCTTCCCATGCTGAGCTGAAGAAAGCCGTCTCCGTGGGATGAATGTTCCAGTGACTCAGGCCCCCTGATAATCCTTTGGTTTGGTTCCTCCAGGATGAAAAAGCAGTTTTTGTCTAGAGATGCCTCCCTTCCTCCCCTCCCACCCCTATCCTGTCCTTTAAAAGTCTCTCCAAGAAAAGCAGGCATGCCTGAGGGCTGGAGGCCAGTCTATTTCTGTTTGTAGGGAGGTAGAAGTCAAGCCAGGTGGGTGGGGCTGGGAAAGCACAGAGACCTGGGTGAGACTTAAGGATTCCTGTTCTGATCTGATAGATCACCAAGCATTCTAACCCCCTCCCTAACTTAAATCTTCTGAGCCTCAGTTTCCTCATCTACAGAGCAGGGATAATAAAACCTGCACCCCCCACCTCCAAGGGGAGAGATCACCAGAGGAATGTCTTCAATATTCTAGACCTAGGATTTCATTGACCTGAGTTGTTCCAGGAGTGGAGATTCCCTCCACTGTTACAGATTGCCAATCTGTCAGTATTTTATAGTCTTAGGACTGTCTGTGGCATCCCTGGAGAGGTTAAGTGACTTCCCCAGGGTCGTTCTGCTAGTATGTGGCAAAGGCAGGTCTTTTTGACTCCAAGGCAAGCTCTCTAACTGCCTCTCCAGAACCGTGAATTATGGTGGTGATTTCTTTAATTGTCCCAGCAATACACACATTCTCTGGACCCTGGCCTGGATAAGGAGGCACCAAATAGCAGAGAGCTAAAGGGGATTTATCTGTCTGTTGGCTCCTATGGAGCCGATCTCCTTCTGGCCATTCATGTGTGCCCCTCCACTTTCCTCCGGTGGGCATCCAGGTCCTCTCTAGTGTGATCATCACTTCCCCAATGAAGCCTATGCCTATGCAGTGTTGGGGCAGGGGGTGAAGAATTAAGCCACTCCAGTCACTGGCTCTTCAAGGCCACAGGAGCTCAAGGCCTCCTTGCTATCTTCTTTCCCACCAGCCTCCTCTAGACCCCATCCAGGACACCCGGGACCCTAAAAAGAGGAAGGGTTTCTCTGGGACTTCCCATCCCACATTTTAGGAATAGAAATTAACAAGTAAAGATAGGATGTTATTAAAGAACAAGCCCAGATTCACAAAAACCCAAGAGATCTAGGATTTTGTCAGCCTTGAGGGCTTCCCTGTGTGGGATGTCTTTCCACCAAAGTCACGGAAGCTAAATGGTTTAGCCAGCCAGCAACAATCAGAAGAGGGATTTGAACCTAGGTCTTCCTGACGCCAAGTCTAGCCCTCTTTCTATATTGGCCTAGAGACTTTAATAATAATAGCTGACATTTAGACTTGCATGTTAATGTTTGTAAAGCACTCTACATCTGTGGTCTCATGTGATCCTCATAACAATCTTGTGAAGGTAGGTGCTGTAGGCATTATTCTCCCCATTTGACAGATTTGAAAACTGAGGCTCAGAAAGCTTGTGACTTGCCCGGAGTCACACAGCTAATAGGTGTCAGAGGTGGGTTCCAGCCCAGCACTGTCCTTCTCATAGCTTCAAATTCTCAGGTTGGGCAGGAGGGAAGAGCACCCAGTGGGGATCAGGTGAACGGGCTGAAGGATGACCACTTCTTTTCCTGTCCCTATTCCCAAGAGGATGGAGCACCTTCTTGCTCCAAGGCAGAAACTGTAGCATTTTGGAGCTGAAAACAATCATGAAGGGCAAGGGTAGAGATCAAGGAAATGTTCAATAAAAAAGAGGGCTTGAATAGTCACCACTTCTAATGGTCTTGAAGGGGAATGGAGAGTGAAAAAGAAAGAAAGAAGACAGAGGAAACATGGGGAGTGGAGAGAGAGAGAGGAGAGAGAGAGAGGGAGAGAGAGAGAGAGAGAGAGAGAGAGAGAGAGAGAGAGAGAGAGAGAGAGAGAGAGAGAGAGAGAGAGAGAGGAGGGAGAGAGAGAGAGAGAGAGGGAGAGAAGAGAGAGAGAGGAGAGGAGAGAGAGAGAGAGAGAGAGAGAGAGAGAGAGAGAGAGAGAGAGAGAGAGAGAGAGAGAGAGAGAGAGAGAGAGGGAGAGAGAGAGAGAGAGAGAGAGGGAGAGAGAGAGAGAGAGAGAGGGAGGGAGAGAGAGGAGAGAGAGAGAGAGGAGAGAGAGAGAGAGAGAGAGAGAAGGAGGGAAAGCAGGTGGAAAGAGAGGGAGATAGGCAGGTACAAAAGAAGAAAGAGGAAAGGTGGGGGAATACAGAGAGATAGAGAGTGATAGAGACAGATGGAGATGAAAAGAAGAGACAGACAGGGAGAAAAGGAGGAAGAGGAAGAAGAGAAGAAAGACGCTGAAATGTGTGTGTGTGTGTGTGTGTGTGTGTGTGTGTGTGTGTGTGTTCATGTGCCTGAATAACTATTGGATGAATGGAAATGTCTGAACAACCTTTTAGGGATGAGTTTGTTTTCATGCAGGGAACTCCTGAATGGGCATAGCAGCAAAATGGGTCATCCAAAAGCCAAGACCGAAATTTAGCCCAACCATCTGGCTAGCTCTCAGAGTATGGAGCTGGCCTACTCTGCGGGGATCCCTGGTCCTCCTCCCTCCCCACCCTTGCTATCCTGGTCTCCCCACAGGCCTCCTCATCATCTTGGGTAGTAGTCATCTGGGACTCCCGTGAGGTTCCTCAGTTTGAGGGCCCTGTCCACCATCTTGATGTAGGAGTTGATGGTGTTCTGCATCTCAGGAGTATAAGGGTCATACTCTAGCTTTCTCAACCCTGAGCGCTTAAAGTTTCCATCCTTCTGGCCCTCCACGCACAGGAGCCTGTCCTCTAAGACATCCACATCTAAGAGGCTGACCATCCTCTCCAGCTGGGTGAACAAGTCCTGCTTGAGGTCTTCAAAATGCACCACCAACACCTTCTTGCCATACTTCAGCCAGTCCAATGTGTGCGTGGCCCACCATGGTGCATAATTCTTCACAAACTCTGGCCACTCTGTGAAGGAGAGAAGTGAGAGGGAGTGAGCCCTCAGAGTATGTACTGAGTAATAGAGTACTGGATTTGAATTCAGAAGACCTAGGTTCAAATCCTTCTTTCAATGTCATGTGATGTTGGGTTCAACTCATCTCCCTGGGCCTCAGTTTCCTTTTCTGTAAAATGAAGGAGTCAGATTCAATGGTCTCCCTCCAGATCTAAATCCATGTTCTGACTGACCATAAACAGCCAACCTTCATTGTGGGTTTGGGGTAAGTTTGGGGTAAGAAGGATATAAAGGGTATAAAGAAGGTACCTCTTCTACCTGTGATTTTTGATTTTACAATGAGGGGGAAACCAGATCTGGGTTCAAGTCCCAGATTTGCTTTGTGACCTTGGTCAGGTCCCTTCTCCTCTCTGGGTCTTTTTTTCCTTTTTTTTGGCAAGGCAGAGTCACACAGCTAGTAAGTGTTATGTGCATGAGGCCGGATTTGAACTCAGGTCCTCCTGACTCCAGAGTTGGTGCTCTATCCACTGAGCCACCTGGCTGCCCCTGGGTCTTTCTTCCTCTCTAAAATGAGGGGGCTTGACTAGATGACTCCTCTTAGCTTGAATGATTCAGGACTCTTAAGAGGCTTTTCAGAAGACCATAAATAGAAACATTAGCTGAAATTCTGGGCCCCCAGGCATAGATGTTAAATGGCAGAAGAAGCATATTTTCAGCAAAGATCTTACATCTTCCCCCTTCGATGCCTTTCTTCTCATCCTAGCCCACCTCCATGATGCTCTGGCTGCTTGGGAAGTATTTATACCCAAAACAACAAGAGGGTTTTTTTTAAATCACAGAAACAGATTATTATAATCTATCTGCCTGATTGGACCCATACTGTTATAATGGGTTAAGACCAGATGCATCTGAATGATTAAAAAAGATCTAGCACTTGTACAGCTTTAAAATTTTTCAAAGTACTTTCCTCTTCTTATTTCTGTAAAGCCTTATTTGTAGGGCAGATATATCAAGTGTTTCGACCGTCTTAGTGCAGTTCTAAGTTTTAAGTTGTTGTTGTTTTAATCACTTAAATCTGCATTAAGACTTTGGGAATGCCCATTTTACAGATGGGAAAGCAGAGTTTTAAACAGAGATTTGTTCAAGGTCACACTGTCACTATCCAGGGGTCCAATCTCCCAGGCCAAGGGCTCTTTTTTTTCTGACATTCTTTTAATGATGGTATTATAGAGAGAAGGTTGGATTTGGAGTCATACGTAAGTTGTGTTCAGTTGTTTCAGTCATGTCTGACACTTCATGACCCCATTTGGAATCTTTTTGGCAAAGATACTGGAGTGGTTTGCCATTTCCTCCTTCAGATCATTTTACAGATGAGGAAACTGAGGCCAACAGAGTGAAGTGACTTGCCCGAGGTCACACAGCTAGTGAATGTCTGAAGCCGGATTTGAACTCAGGTCTTCCTGACTCCAGGCCTGGTGCTCTGTCCACGATGCCTCCAACTGCAATTAGAGCTGTCCAAAAAGTAGAACAGACTGCTTCATACAGTGAGTATCCTGTTTTTGGAGGTCTCCAAGGAAAACTGGAAGAGCTTCTGTCAGGGATAGTGAAGATGGGGGTTTCTGCTTTGGTGCAGTCTGGATTATACCATCTCCAAGTTTTCTTTCAGCTCTGAGATCCTATGATCTTGCCCAGCACACATGTGCCATGGCTGGCATGAAGGAGCTCAGAACTCTTGACTGTGATTCAATTCAATCCAACAAATGTTTAAAAGCCCTGACCATGTGCAAATGACTGTGCAGGTGCTTGGGGATGCAAAGGCAAAAAGGAAATAATCCCTGCCCTCTAAGAGCTTCCGTTCTAACAGGAAGGAGGTCAGCCACAATCCCTTGAGCACATGTGAGCAGTAAACAGACTTCTGCCACCCAGGTACACCAGTGACCAAGGATGGCTTTCCAGCAGCCTGGCAGACCCTGTGAGAATGTCCAGGGTCTGGTCTTTATTGTGCATAGCCCAGTGCAGCCCCCACCCCCAGGGCCACCTTCCCTTAGGGCCCAGTCCCTTCCCTTGGAACCTAGTCTCAGGGCAGCTAGGTGGTGCAGTGGATAGAGCACCGGCCCTGAAGTCAGGAGAACCTGAGCTCAAATCTGGCCTCAGACCAAACACTTGACACTTACTAGCTGTGTGACCCTGGGCAAGTCACTTAACCCCAATTGCCTAAAAGAAAAAAAAAAGAACCTAGTGTTTGCTCACCCAAAGTCACAGGACCAGAATATCTTTTTGCCTCACAGGTAAATTGCTCATAGCATTTAGAACTGGAAGAGATCTTACAGACCATCTGTACAACTCCCTCATTTTACAGGGGAAACTGAGGCCCAGGGAGGTTGTGGGCACACGGCGGATAAATGCCACTTTGCATAAAGGCCTGTCCTGGTCCTTCCCCACTATCCCCCCTGCCTCCACCACAGTTAGTGTTCTCTCTGTTTTCTGAAAGTTGACAATATTTTGTATTTATTTATCCATGTACAAGTTGTGTGCCTTGGTGGAATATAAACTACCTGAGCACCGTAAACAATGCCCAGAACGTGTTGTTGTTCAATCATTTCAGTCATGTCCAACTGTCTGTGATTTCTTTTGGAGTTTTCTTGGCAAAGATACTGGAGTGGATGAGCAAATGGAGGCAAACAGGGTAAAGTGACTTACCTAGGGTCACACAGCTAGGAAGTATCTGAGGCCAGATTTGAACCCAGCTCCTCCTGACAGAGGCATTATTCACTGAGTCATCTAGCTGCCTCTGCCCCCTGCATGTAATACGTGACTCGAATTTGAGGGTGGTAGAGCCAGGATTCAAATCCAGGTCTTTTGACTCTAAATGTGGCTCTTTCCCAGATGCAACCAGTTAGAACCTTGGATAAAACACCGAGCCTGAAGTCAAGAAGTTTCAATCCAGACTCAGATACTTACCACACTGTGTGACCCTGGACAAGTCCCTTTACATGCTTCAGTTTTCTCATCTGAAGATGAGGGAGGAGGGGTTGGACTTGATGGTCACTAAGACCCCTCCCAGGTGCATTTTGCTATCCCACAATCCTCAGTGAGCTTTGTCCTGGACCTCACTCCTCCAAGTTCCTGAGCCATCTCATTTCCAGGTGTTTTTTGCTAGGGCAATGTTAGGATGGAGAGAGGGGAAGCCCTTGCAGTTATCCCTGGTTTCTTGGTGACTGATCTTAGCATGCACGTTCTGCAATAAACATTGCTACTTGCCCTGGAATGCAGGCACGTGCCTACAGCTCCCGAGGCATGCGAGCTCCAGGTCTCTGTGCTCTGTCTCACTCTCCTGCAGGAACCCATGCCTGATTAATAGCCCAACTGCACTTAATTCCCCAAAGAATCATTAAACACAGTATCTGTTTCATTACACAGATCCAGGACAATTCACCTTGTGTAATCATATCACATAAAACTTTGCTTTGGATCCGCTCCAGGGAGATCATAAAATTAATGTCATGGAACAAAATCCAGATTTTACAGGGGCCTTCAGCCTGGACTGGGGAGATGCACAGCTGGAACTGGGGGTGGTGTGTGGTGGCGAGAGGCAGAGCCGTGTCTCCAACAGCTGTGTGCACCAGCCCGCTGCAAAGCCCAGCGCCATTGAGCCCTGTCACTTTAATCCTTCCCCTTACCGATGAAACTCAGGGAGGGCTGAACTCTGGAAGCAGGGAACCCAAAGGACCATTGAATGGAAGGGAGAGGTGGCTATGGAGAGAGGGCTGGCTTAGGAGGCAGGGGACCTGAGTGTAAACTCAGCCTTGCTGCTTACTATTTGTGTGATCTTACACAAGTCAGGTGCAGTGGAAAGAGCATGATTCAAATTATGCCTCTACTTGTATCATCTTGTGCCGGTCTTTTTCCTCCCTCTGGACCTCAGTTTCTTCCTGTATAAAATGAAGGGTGTTGGAATAGATGGCCTCTGAGGTCCCTTTGTGTCAAAATCTGTGATCTCTCTCTAGTCTCAGTTTCTTTACCTGTAAAATGAAGGAGATGGGACTCTAAATCTATTATCCGTCTCTGGCTTCAGTTTCCTCATCTGTAAAATGAGGGGGGCTAGATTAGGACCTTTTGTAGCTCTGAATCGATGCACAGGTCATCTAGTACAACCCCTTCATTTGAGATTGGAAAAGACTGAGGCCCAGGAGGGGAAATGATTTGCCCAAGGTCATCCCAGCAGAAGTGGAATTCCAGACAAGGTCTTGGATGCCAGATCTGAGGCTCCTTCCTTACCAGACCCTTTCTTCTACCTTTTTTTGGAGAAGGTAAAGATAATCACAGCTTGGTGTTTGTGTGTGTGTGTGTGTGTGTGTGTGTGTGTAGGGGAAATAGGCTAGTGAGAGGAGAGAAAAAGCGAGAGAGAACATAGCCATAGGAAGTCCAATCTAGAACGACCCTCAATGTCAGTTAGTCCTAGATCTAAAGCTGGAAGAGATGTCAGCAAATTGTGAGCTTGGGAATGAAAGGTTCCTTGTCTTTTAGGCCCTTCTGTACCGCAGTCTCTATTCCACCCAATTCCTAAAACAAAGGAGCCAGGAGGGACCTTAGAGGTCATCTCTCACCTCTGTGCATTTGTACAGAGTTTTATTCTCTGCTTCTTAAAACTCTCAGTTTCTTTCTAAGCTCAGACCAACTGTCATCTCCTAATGAGACCTTTCCCAATTCTATTGGTTGCTAATGTCTCGACCCTTAAAAATTTCTTAGTGTTTCTGTTTTGTATATATTTCATATGGACATGGTGTTTCCTCTGATAGACTGTAAGCTCCTCGAGGTCAGGGACTGCTTCATTTTTATCTTTGCATCCCTTGTGCTTGGCATGGTGCCTGGCACATAGTAGGCACTCAATAAATGTTTGTAATTGATTGATGGAGTTCATCTCCTCTAACACCTTTATTTTAGAGGGATGGAAGAGGGAGGAGAAAGGACTGAGCCAAGGTCACACAGCAGCACACAGCAGAAATCCAGACACTCTGACTCAAGATATAATGCCTTTTCCTACCATGTTACGCTACCCCAAAGTCTAGAGACATTTGGGGAGCTAAGATTTTGGCTCAAGGTCAATGAAGGTGTACTTGAGTGACAATGGCTCAGGTGGAGACCTTGAGTTTCCAGCTGGGTCAGGCAACCCAAGAAGGCTAAAGATTAATATCTCAAACTCTGAGGTACCACATCACACCTATCAGATTGGCCAACATGACAAAACAGGAAAATGATAAATATTGGAGAAGATATGGGAAAATTGGAACACTAATGCATTGTTGGTGGAGTTGTGAAATGATCCAACCATTTTGGAGAGCAATTTGGAACTTTGCCCAAAGGGCTACAAAAATGTGCATACCCTTTGATCCAGCAATAGCACTTCTAGGGCTATATCCCAAAGAGATCATACAAATGGGAAAAGGACCCACATGTACAAAAATATTCATAGCAACTCTTTTTGTGGTGGCAAAGAATTGGAAATTGAGAGGATGCCCATCAACTGGGGAATGGCTGAGCAAGTTGCGGTATATGGATGTAATGGAATACTATTGTGCTTTAAGAAATGATGAATAGGCTGTCTTCAGAAAAACCTGGAAAGACTTATATGGTCTGATGCTGAGTGAAGTGAGCAGAACCAAGAAAACATTGTACACAATAACAGCCACGTTGTGGGATGACTAATATTGATAAACTGAACCCTTCCCAGCAATACAAGGATCTAAGACATCTCCAGAGGCCTTGTGATGGAAAATGCTGTCCACATCCAAAGAAAGATTGAAGTTGAATTGCTATTTTTTTTCTCTTCTGTTGAATTTTGTTTCCTCTTTCTGGTGGTCCCTCCTATTGGTTCTAATTCTTACTTACAACATCACAAATGTGAAAACATGTTTAATAGGAATGTATATGTATAGCCTATATCAGATTGTGCACCATCTTGGGAAGGGTGGTGGGGAGGAAGGGGAAGAAAAATTTTAAACTCAAAAGCATATGGAAGTGATTGTTGATTAATCAAAATAAATTAATAAAAAATAAAGATTCATATCCTCAAGAAAACTTCCTTGGTCTGGAGTATGTGTAACCCTGACTTAGGTTCTGGAGGTAGAACTGAGAATAGCAATGTCTTTCTGTTCTCTACTGTAAAGGCTTCCAGGGGTAAAGAGGGGAAGGAGTGGTGGGTAGGACGTTGGCAGACATGCCCAGTCCGATGGCACTAGATAGAGCCCTACGCTGAAGGACAGCTCTTTCATAGACTCTTAGAGCCCTGACAAATGAGCTCCTGGGAGTTAGACTCAGCTGATGATCTGACTCCAGATGGCCTGGGAGGGAGCCTGGCCCAACTTGGTTCAGAGGAGTTTACAGCTCTTTTCTGACATGAGGCTTCCCTGGACAGTCAAGACTGTGCATCAGGTTTGGTGTAGGGGGAAGCCTAGCTTGGTCCTTCCTGGGGGAACTATCTCCCCAAACAGAGGGCGTGCTTGGCGATGTTAGTTCAGGAGCAAATTCTGACCCCAAAAGCTTAACAAAAAGGTTACTGGAACAATCCTAGAGTTTGTCCAGACTCATGGTCAGCACGGTCTCTGAGGCATCATCTGGTTCTTCCATTCTATGTCTCAGGTTTCTTCTAGCTCAATTTTCCATGTTCTATGTCTTAACATTCTCTGGGCTAAATATAGGATAATAAGGTTAGCCCTGCCAGCTAAAAAACATTACAATCTAGAGTCCCTTCCAATCCTAACATTTTAATGTTTTAAGGCCCCATCCAGTTCTGACACTCCTTGTTCTAAGGCCTCCTTATTTCTGACATTCTATGTTCTCAGATTCCCCCAGCTCTGATATTCCCTGTTCTGAGGCCTCTCTCAGCTTTGACATTCTCTTTTCTATGACTCTGTCCAGCTTTAACATTTTTATTAGTTTAAGGTCCCTTCTAGCTCTAACTATATATTTTCTATGCTCTCCGGGAGTACTTAAGGCTTCATTCTCAGTCTCATATTCTGGTTTCAGTCACTAAAATTCAAAACCTCCTGCCCCCCGCCTGCTTGGGAGAAGAAGTGAACCCGCTGCCATCTTCTTTCTCTTCATGTTCCTCTTCCCTGCTGGGGTGAGAATCAGGCAGGGAGCTGTTTGGGGTTATGGGACTCAGCAGACATTCCCTTTAAAGACACGTGGAATGGAGGGGAGCAGATGTTCAATGAAGCTAGAGATTTTTAACTCTTTCCAATGACATCAATTTCATGGGAGCAATTTGTAAATTGCTATAATTAACAGCATCCCACAATATGCTTTGGAGCAGCACCACAGAGAAGGTGGTAACTCTGGAGCAGCAGGGAGAGAGTGAGGAAAGGCCTGGAAGAGACCCCATCACCCACAGGGGACTTGGGGAGTCTATCTCAGAAGATGAGGCTTGGCTTAGGGGAGAGGGAGAAAATCTGATAGGAAGAGGGAGGCTATAAAAAAGAGATTGCTTTAAAAAGATAGTATACATCCCAAAGGGTGTTATAACTGAGTTTTTCATAGAAAGGATGCTCTACCCTACTGTCTACTCCTATGCACACTCCAGGGATGCTGCAAGGACCACAGACTATCCCTAGAGGTCTTGCCTGCAGATGCCCAACCTCCTGAGCTTATTTCAGACCTGTTGGGGGTGGGTGGCCTGACTGGGGTGCCAAGCCAGGGTAGCACCCACGGTCCTTACCTTTGCCTTTCCAGTGGGCCTGTGAGGCGAAGCCAATATGGCCACCATATTTGCGGTTGAACTCTGCCATGAGGGCCTTGTAGGGGTTTCGGATGAGCAAGATGGCAGCGTCAAAGGCTTCAATCTCCTTCTGGCCACTCTCATGGGTCTTGATGCAAATGGTCCTCCCACTTCTCCAGTGGTCCCTCTCACCCCTAAACCCTGCTCCTCAGAAGACAAAGAGATTCATTAATAGAAGGACATGGGAAGGAGGGGATATTCACAATAACAGCTTAGCACATTGTAGTTATAGAATGCTCTCATATCCATTATCCCATCATCTTCCTAAAGGACTAGTCTTCCCCTGTGACTCTGCAGTTCAGCACTCTTCAATGGCTTCCTATCCCTAGGACAAAATGCAAATTCCAGGGCTTGGCATTTAAAGCAACAAGTTCTGGCCTCCTTTCCCAGTCTTATTTCATATTTTCCCCTTCATGCACTCTCCTTTTCAGCCTTCCTGGCCTCCTTGGTATATCCTGAAAAGTATTCCATCCCCAAGCCATGTCCCTTGCCTGGAGTACTTCTTCCCCTCCCCTCTGCCTTTAGTATTCCTTCAAGGCTTAGCTCACAAGCCACTTTCTAGAGGAAACCAGATCTCTTGGTTGGTGAGATTCTCTCTTGCTCCCTCAAATTCTCATCTATGTAATGAACTATTTGCATGTCATTTTCTCCAGTAGAATGTGGCCTCCTTGAAGGCAGGAACAGTTTTGATTTTTGTCTTTGTTATCTCCAAGACGTGGCCAGTGCCTTGCATAAAGGAAGCCCTTAAGATGGATTGGACTGAATTGGAGCCATTAACCAATCAAATATTTATAAAGAAATACATATAAATATTTATTTAATAAACAACTATTTATAAATATGTTTATAAATAAAATGAATGTTGATAAAACTCCCACTATGTGCCAGGCAGATAGTGAAAGATAGAAGGGCCTGGTGTGCTGTGGTACATGGGGTCATGAAGAGTCAGAAACAACTGAACAACAAAATATACCAGGGTGTTTAGCATACAAAGGCAAAAGTGAAAGTCTCTGCCCTCAGGGACCTTATGTTTTATTGCTCTCTGTGTGTGTATATGTAAAGTAAATGCAAAATACAAGATAATTTTCTTTAATTTTTTGAGAGGGGAGGCACTGACCAGCATCTGGGAAGATTTGGGAAGGCTTCATGTAGGAGGTGGTACTAGAGCTCAGTCTCGAAGGAAACTAAGTATTCTAAGAGGTGGAGGTGGGCAGGGAAGTCATTACAGGCATAATGATGGCAGGGGCAAAGGCATGGTGGTGGGGGATAGGATTTCTGGTGTGAGATGAATAGTGCAAGTGTGGCTTTTGAATTTTACAGCTGAGGGGTCATACACATGGCGGGTCATGCCATTGGTGAGGTCGGAGAGAGGACCTGAACCCAGACCCTCTGGCTCTAGGTCTGAGGTGCTTTCCACCTCAAGGTTCACGAACTGGTGCATCTTTGCTTGGCCACCATTCTTAAGCTGGGGCCCCAAGAGCAGGCCCTGCCTTTAACAAACCAATACTAACGTCACCAGCAGCAGTCACCAAAGGCCTCGGATCCACCGAGGCCCAACCTGGACTCTCGATGGAGTCATGAAATGGTCTGGCCTAATACGTCCATTTTGCTGCCCTTTGCTACAATGTGGATGCAGCCCATGGCCTATCTCAGCTGGTGGGGGCACGGAGGGAAAACGTTGCCTCTGCCCAGTTTGCTTCTGCCACAGATTCTACCACCAAACACCAGGGAGGGAGCCTGGCACGGTGGAAAGGGTGCTGGCCCAGATTCTGGTCTTAGCTCTAACCCAGCTCTGACCTTCCCTGTTTTAGGGCTCCTTCCAGCTTTGACATTCCCTGTTCTAAGTTCCCTCCCAGCTCTGACCTTCCCCGTTCTAAGGCCTCTCCTAGCTTTGACATTCCCTGTTCTAAGGCCCCTCCCAACTCTGACATTCTCAGATTCTGTATCACATACACAGACAGCTCCATGAATGGACATTTCCTCCCTGTGCTGTGTGTGCCCCAAAATATATCGCCTGTCCTCAGGGGTTACATGGTCTGGCAAGCAGGGAGGGAGACAAACAGTCCTCCTTGCCCATTTCTCTTCTGGCCCTGATGGGTCTGGGATTAGCATCCTCATTGCTAAACCCCATGGGCTGGAAATGCTGGAGAGAAAACAGAGAACAGAACAGAATCCTGGGCCTCCTGCAGACTGAGCCCAGATAAAATCGGATGCTGGAGAGCTAATTCTCTCTCGTCAAGCCTATGGGCCCTGCTTGGTTCCCTTGCTGCACAAAGGGGAAAACAGCTAAGGTTTTGTATTTCTGGTTATTAACATGCCCGAGGAGGAAGGGGGAGGTGATAGCATTTGTTAAGACACCAAGAGGGAAAGCAGGATGGAGCAGGACAGTCTGTATTACCGAGCCCAGAGGCCTGGAGGCCAGAGGAGGAGTCCTAACTCTGCCACTTTAAAGCTGAGTAACCTTGGGCAAGTCAAGTACACGAGGTAGAGACAGGAACACCTTAGACACCAAGCCAAACGCCTATTCAATTCAATCCAATGGACATTTATTAAACACCTACTGCAGCTAGGTGGCGCCATAGTGCATACAGCGCCAGGCGTAGAGTCAAAAGATTCATCTTCCTGAGTTCAACTCCATCCTCAGACACCTACTAGCTGTGTGACCCTGGGCAAGTCACTTCACCCTGTCTGCCTCAGTTTCCTTGTCTGCAAAATGGTCTGGAGAAGGAAATGGCAAACCACTCCAGTATCTTTGCCAAGAAATCTCCAAATGGGGTCACAAAGAGTCAGACAGCACTGAAATGACTGAACACCAACAATAAGACCAGAGAATCCCAGGTTTGGAAGGAAGCTCAGTGGTCATCTACTGCCACTCATACCGGAATAGAATCCTCTCTATAATGTATCTGAGGAAAGAACTCTGGAGTCAGAATGCAGATGGAAGCAGACTATTTGCTCTCCTTTTGTTGTTTTGTTTCTTCTTTCTCGTGGTTCCTCCAATTGGTTCTAATTCTTTACATCATGACTAATGTGAAAATATGCTTAATATGAACATATAAGTAGAGCCTTTATCAGATCACACACCGTCTTGGGGAATGGGGAGGAGAGAAAATTTGAAGCTTAAAATCTTATGGAAGTGAATGTTGGAAACTAAAAATTAGTAAATAGTGTTTAATTAAAAAAAATAATGTATCTGAGGAATCTGAGAAGGGGCTATCCCACCTTCCTTTGTTGGAAGTCTCAGGTGATGGGGAGCTCACTACTTCCCAAGGGTCTTCTTGATAGTATGTTTTTCCTTATAAAGAGCCTCTAATTCCCTCTTTGTGTTTTCCCCCATTGCTCCTGGTCTTTCCCTCTGGGGATAAGTAGGACAAGCTTCACCCCTCCTCCACATGGCAGTCCTGGGCATACTTGAAGACACACCTCTTACATTCTTCCCGAGTTTTTTCTTCTCTGTGTTCCCCTCCCTCAACCCAACCTCATGAGGCATGCACTTGAGGCATTTCCCCATCCTGGCTGTCCTTTCCTGGATGTTCTTCCCTCACCAGTCAATCATTGTCCTTCCTGAAATATAGTGCCTGGAGAGGATTCAGTATCCCAATTGCCCTACGGGACTAGGGACCTTGCTTCAAGCCAGGGGCCCAATACAACCGTCTGGACAATGGGGCTGGGCTCTGATAAGCAGAAGGCTTTGGATCAAAAGATTTCCTGCTTGTCTGCCTTAGGCATCAATGCTGTTTGGAGTGCTGGTTGCAGCAGTAGGGCTGGCTTTGACATCACTGCATCCTTGCCACTGCCATCCCTCCAGGAGTTTTGGAGACAGACAAATAGTGCTTGTTCCTAACATAACATTAATGTAGTAAATTACTCTTATGTGTCAGTCAGGGTGAAAGAAAGCCAGCTCCCAGGCTTTTTCAGATCATGGCAGGGGGAGTTCTGTTATTCACCTAGCAGCCAGCAAGAGGTCCCTTCTATCTCTCCTTGGGGGTCTGCCCAGTGGGCATCTTGTTTTTCTGAGACCTTGGTCTCAGCAGAACTAAGATCTTAGCATGGCATTCAGTGTCTTGTGTATAAGTGGGAAGGAGAAAAAGAGAGATGAAAGAGAAGGAAGAGAGAATGAGAAAGGGGTGGGAGAGAAGGAAGTGAGAGAGAAAATGAAAAAGAGGAAGAAAGAAACAAAGAATAGTGAAGGGAAGAGAGGAGAGAGAAGAGAAGAGGGATGAAGGAAGAGGAAGGAGAGAAAGAGATAGGAAAGAATGAGAAAGGAAGAGTCCAGGGAAGGGAAGGTGGAGGGATTAGAAAGAAGGAAGATGAAGGGGGGGGGACTGAAGAAGGAAAGAACAGATGGAGAGTGACAGAAAGAGAACAGAGAATCTCTCTTCCCTTCCCCTCTCCTCTTCTCCCCTCTTTCTTCCTCTCCCCTCTTCTTCACTTCTCTCCTCTCCCCTCCCTCCCCTCTTCCCTCCCCTCCCCTCCCCTCCCCTCCCCTCCTCTCCTCTCCTGTCCTCTCCTCTCCTGTCCTCTCCTCTCCTGTCCTCTCCTCTCCTGTCCTCTCCTCTCCTGTCCTCTCCTCTCCTCTTCTCTCTCTCTCTCTCTCTCTCTCTCTCTCTCTCTCTCTCTCTCTCTCTCTCTCTCTCTCTCCCTCTCCCTCTCCTCCTCCTCCTCCTCCTCGAAAAGATGGAGAGTAAGAGAGAAAGGGAGAGAGAAGAGGGGGGAGATGGTGAGAGAGTACACCCTCTTACCTCCATTAAGTGGATGTGTATGGTGCAAGGAACACTAAAAAATTGGGAGATTTGCTTCTATTCTCTGACCTTCCATTAACTTTCAGTGTAATTCTTGGCCAAGTGATCTTCCCATTCTCAACCCTGGTTTCCTCATCTTTACAACGAAAGGGTGGAACTAGGTGACTTCAAAAGACAGTTCACGAGAATTCTCCCTTTATAAGCCAATGGCAACCCAGAAAGTGATTCTTCAGCTATCTTTCTACCATGACACTAACCACCTCCCTGCTCCAAGCTCCCTGGCTTTCTACCTCTCACTGAGTAATAATCAAATCCACACTACCATCCCAGAAAGAACACGGCTGCCAGTGGATGGATGGCTTCACTCCCTCTTCCTGTAACTTCCCGGATCAAACCCCTCTTCTCTGGCCGCTGCTTCCCTATAGGGACTGCTTTCCTCAGTTAGGACCTGAGCTCCTGGCACTCAAGGCCTAGCTTACTTTTCTTTGACTCCTCAACGTTTATTTTAGCATAGTGCCAAGCACACGGTAAGCACTTAATAGATTTCTTTTAGGGGAGGCAGTTGGGGTTAAGTGACTTGCCCAGAGTCACACAGCTAGTGAGTGTTATGTGTCTGAGATTGGATTTGAACTCAGATCCTTCTGACTCCAGGGCCGGTGCTCTATCCACTGTCCCACCCTAGCTGCCCCAATACATTTCTTTGTTCATTAATTCATTCATTGATTCAAAAGTTCCTTTCAGGTCTAGCATTCTGTAATTCTATCCCATATTTAGGTTTGTAGAGGGTGGAAGGAGGAGAGATAAGCATATATGCATATATATATATATGTGTATATATATATACATATATATGTATATATATACATACATATATATGTATATATATATATACACACACACACATACACACACATACATACATACAAACAGTATATATACATGTATGTATGTGTGTGTGTGTGTGTGTGTGTGTGTACATTCTGTATGTTTTATGTGTCAGGCACTGTGTCAAGTATTTTATAAATATTATTTCGTTTCATCCTTGTAGAAGATGGACCAAGGGACGGGCTTGATGGAGGTATGAGGAGAGAAGGAATGTATTTCCTCCATTCCCTGGTGTGTCCTGACAAGACCACAGATTCCAGAATGAAAAAAGGCAATAAATAAATAAACAAATAAATACATACATACATACATACATACATACATACATACATACATACATAAACAGATAAATAAATAAATAAATGAATAAATGAATAAATAAATAAATAAATGAAGGACAGTGGAGCGAGATGTCCCCAGACTCTTCAAGGTAGGAGGGAAACAGGTGGTGACATGAGGACATGAGCTTCCTGGGCATTCATCCTGGCAATCTGACTCCAAGCTGGAGGATTTTCCAATGTAGAATTCTATCCTGGAGGAGTAGGTGCCAAATACTCCACCAGTAACTGGCAGCAGGGAGTGGGACAGCTGGGCATGAACAGAGCTGCCCTGGCTTCTTAATACGCTGTAGGTCCCACCCCTGGGCTTGGCTCGACAGCGCCCCCTGCCTGTCTGCCCGATCGGAAGCAGAGCTCCGAGTAGCACATTAAAGTTCTACTCTGGGTTTTTTCACTGGGGAGATGAGCAGATACTGATTGTTATGATGGTGGCTTTCTTTCACCAGGATCTGGCAACAAGGCAGTGTTGAATACTTGGGCACAACAGTCCTTAATAACTACACCCATCCCAGCCCCTGAAGAAGGGCCTGTAAAAATCATTTCATGAAAACAGTTTTATTAAGTGCACTAACTGTGACCAGCCCACAAAGATCAGTCCTTTTTCTGGTGGGCATTAAATGATGGAATGCTCCTGTCACTGACCACAGTTTAAAATGGGACAATGTCTGGAAGAGGAACTATTTTTAAGATTTATTTAAAGTTATCTGTTACTTAAAATTATTTTTTAATTTAAAATTTTAAAATTAAAATTTTGTTAAAATTTCAAAGAGAAACCCATACATAATAACAATGCTGTCACCAGCTCCCTAGCCTAGTCTTGTTCAATTTCCTACCACCAGGTACCTTTTAGACTGGCATCTCAAACTCAACTTGACCTAAAATTATCTTCTTCCTCAAACCCACCCTGGGCAGCTAGGTGGTGCAGTAGATAGAGTGCCAGATTTGGAATCAGGAAGACCTGAGTTCAAATCTGGCACTAGCTGTGTGACTCAGGGCAGTCACATAACTCTGTTGGCCTCAGTTTCCTCATGTATAAAATGAGCTGGGGAAGGAAATAGCAAACCACTCAGTATCTTTGCCAAGAAAACCCCAAATAGGGTCACAAAGAATTGGACACAACTGAAAAATGACTGAACAACAATAACAAACCCACCCATCTTCTAAAATCCCTAATCCTCTCAGTCACCTGGGCTCCCAAGCTCAGTAACATCCTTGACTCCTCACTCACACTCACCCCATTTATGCCATCTGTTGTCAAAACTGTCACCTTTTCCCCCTTTAGAATCTCTGTCCCATGTCTCCTCTTCACTCTGGGGCCTTCTCCAGTCTTCCTGATTGATATCTGGCCACTGGACCCAGCTGGCTCTGGAGGAGAAGGTGAGGCTGGTGACCTTGCACCGCCCTCCCTTACTTCAATCCGGTTCCCTTGCGAGTCCTGGCATCACCTCCCTGATGCCATGGCCCTCTTTGAAGGACAAATAACAGTCTCTTCACTTACACAACCACCCCCTCAGGTCACACTTCCAGCACTTCTTTCCAGAACCATCACACCAAGCTCCTACTCAGTCTCCCTGCATCAAGTTTCTTCTCACAACCATCCATCCTCCTCCTTGGCCACCATGATGATTTCCTCTCTGTCATACTATAGAAATATCCTCTATCACCCAGAGATGTAAAAATAGGTTTCTAAATACCCTGCCAGTCACCAGTTCTATGCAAGCCAGTACCACAAAGTGCCTGCTGGTGATAGGGGACTTATGATTAGAGGGGGTGCCCCACCTGGCCCAAGAGGGAATTCTCAACATCCCAGCTGAGCATGTGGGGGCCCCAGACCCAGGCACTAGAAGGAGGGATGGCTGTGCTATCAGAGGTTCCCACTTCTCTTATTGCAAGTAGAGTCCAAGGAGGGGAAAGTGAAACTTCATCTTAGTTGTACCCTGAAAAATCAATTTTCAGCATCCACTGTCTACCTAAATTTTGTGTAGACATGTGACTTTGCAAGAGTCATCTTCAGTAATTCCAAATCCCTAGCCAGGCTCCCTAGCTGTACTCAGCAGAGGCAGCATAGCAGAGCCTGGACAAGTCACTTGTTCCGAGTTTTAGTTTCTTCATCTATAAAACAGGGATGTTGTTAATAGCACCAACCTCACAAGGTTGTTGCAAGGATCCTCTGAGATAATATACAGAAAGTGTCCTGCAAACCCTATAGCCCTGCATGTTAGAAGCTGTTATCGATGTCATCGTTATAATTGCATTTACAACTCCTCTCCCCTCATCTCCCAATCTCAGGTGGAAAGCCATTTGCTACTCTCAAAGCGCTATACAAGTAGCAGCTGGGGGTGTTTTTGATGCTGTTGCTACTATTGCAATCTGTATAATTGAGAATGATAATAATAACAGCTTCATCATTGACCTCATGGGCTTTCTGTGAGAATCCATTAACGATAAACAATATTGATAATGGCACTTTTGAATTTGTTATCGCATCTGAGCCTTATGAGCCCTGTGAGGTAGGTAAAGATAGGGACTGGATCTGGGATTTCCTGTTTATGAGGAAGTTCCAGGTACAGAAACTCCCTCTACTAATGCAGGCTGGAACCTTCTCTGTGACTGAGAGCCTCACAGAGCATCCTCAAACACTGAGCTCAATTACCTGGCCAGATCACATAGCCAGTATGTGTCAGGGGCAGGACTTGAACTCTGCTTTTGAGGTGGACTCTCTACTCACTGTTGCCTCTCCTGAGCTAGGTACTATAGGCATTATTGTCCCTAGTTCTAGTTCTCTCTGTGATTTGATTGCAAGGAACTCTCAGTGTGGGAGTTTCCTCTGCCAGCATAGGACACCAGCTGCTCTGCACCCAACATTGTCTTAGAGCGTTGTCTGTGGTACCAAGAATAAAGTGACTTGCCCAGGGCCATAAAGACAATGTGTGCTACAATGCCACGTTGCTTGTTCTCCCCAATTTACAGATGAGAAATTCAAAGTCCAGAGAAGTGAGGGGGTATATCTGTGGTCTCACAGATCCTAACCCTCCAGCACTCTGTCCACTAAAAGCAACCTGCCTCTATCCTTGCTGAGCAAATCCAATAATGGAAAGTAGTTTGCTAACTCTAAGATATATGGAAATGTGAAAAATCACTATTACTATTAGATTCTAAGCCCTCTGGGCAGAGATGGTGCCTCTACCTGGTCCCCAATAGTGCTTTGGTTTGGACTTTGCCTACAGCCAGAGCTTGGTCCGTGATGTCTCTCATGAACATGGAAAGGTTCCAGTTGAAATTCCATGCCTCTCCAAGCGATATCTCAGTCTTCCTTGACCTTACCCGCACCTCCATCAACATGGCTGCCTTCTGGCAGAACCTCCCATCCTTTTCATCTTTCATCCCCTTCTCCACTACCCCCAACCTAGTGAAAGACCCTTCGAAATGGCCAGTCTCACCTTTGTTATAGAGGGAGCCATCAAAGTAGTAGCTACCCGTGTAGAAGCCAGTGGCAAGCTCAATGAGGTGCCGGGCCCATGTGTTGCCTGCACCCGGGAAACTGGCCAGGGCAATGAGCTCTTTGGACTGCCCTGGGAGGAACCGCCTGTCCATGCAGCGGTTGTCTGCAAAGAGAGCACAGGCAGAGACTTGGGTCAGTGGAGAAGGTTGACACTGAAGACCGAGGCAGAGAGGTTGGGAAAGGGGGATGGGAGGTAACAGAGCACCGGATCTTTGAAAGTGGATGGTCCATTATCTGGAAAGAAAGGGAATAGATGGAGAAGACATTAAATGAGGAGTCAGAAGAGCAGGATCATTTTAGTCCTGGAATAGCTGCAGACTAGCTGTGTCACACTGGACAAGACACTTCATCTCATTGGGATTGCTTCCTTAGATCCCAAAGGAAGATGTTGGAGTAGGTGATCTCTAAGATCTGTTACAATTCTGAGACACTGTACTCTATGCTCTAAAATCCCTCCTAGCTCTGACACCCCCTGTTCTAAGGCCCCTCCCAGCTCTGACATTCTGTTTCAAGACCCCTCCCACCTCTGACATTCCCTGTTCTAAGGCCCCTCCCAGTTCTGACATTCTGTTTCAAGACCCCTCCCACCTCTGACATTCCCTGTTCTAAGGCCCCTCCCAGCTCTGACATTCCCTGTTTTAAGACCCCTCCCATCTCTGACATCTTCTCTTCCAAGGCCCCTCAGTTCTGACATTTTACACTGAAGGTCTATGAAGCCACTTGGGTGATGCATTATCAGAAGAGGGGAGGGAAAGAAAGAGACTTTGTAAGCAGCCCCATGGGAACCCACGGACACACTAAGAAAAGTCAGCCAAGAAGAGAAAACAAAGCTATGCTCCCTCCCCCACAGCTGTTGGTGGCAGACAGGCCAAGTCCCTGCCAAGCCTGACTGGCTCCTCCATATAGGAGGAGGGAGAGGAGAGAGCTTCAGACTCAGGGCAGGCTGTACAACAAGGCACACCTGGGGTCAGGAGGAGTGGGAAGGCAGGAGGAAGGATGTCGGACATCTGGTAAACATAGGCGTGGGCTGGCCTCTGTCCAGTGGCTTACAGAGTGAGTCTATGAACCAAAAGAAGCCTGGCTCTTGTCCAGCCTCTGCCATGGACTACTTATGAGACCTTGGGCAAATCATTGTAACCCATCTGTACCTCATCTCTGCATCTGTCAAATGGGTATCATTCATCCCACTCTGCCCACTTTATGGATCCAATGAGAGAATGGATGGTAGAAGTCCTTTTAAAGTTGGGATCAGAAATGTAATTAGGTCACAAGCTAGTGAACTTTCAATGGGGGACTTATACCCAGGTAATCTGACAATACACGGGCTAGACACACTGGATGTGCTAGATGGCTTCTGAGATTCTTTCCAGCTTTAAATCTATGGTCCTTTGGGATAATATTTTTATTGTGATTTCATGGTATGGGGAACTTCTGGTTTGGAAGTAACAGCCCCTTTCCTAATGCAAACTCGGAACTACCCTAGGATTTCAAGCCTCAGAGAGCTGTTCACTGAGACCTTGCCATCAACCCTGCTGCTTCCTCAGCAGGTTCTCAAGTCTTTCTAGACTCCCTGAAGTGGAACCCTCCTCAACATGCCATCTCCCCCATTTCAGTGTGGGCTCCTTGAGCATAGAGATTATCTTATTGTTCCTATTTCAAAGCTTATCAAAGTGCTGGGTACATTTGTTGTTGCCGAGTCATTTTTCAGTTATGTCTAACTCTGTGACCTCATTTGGGGTTTTCTTGGCGGAGACGCTGGAGTATTTGCCATTTCCTTCTCCAGTTCATTTTACAGATGAGGAAACTGAGGCAAATACCATTAAGTGACTTGCCCAGGGTCACACAGCTACTAAGTATCTTAGGTTGGATTTGAACCGAGGAAGATGAGCCTTTCTGGCTCCAAGCCCGGGGCTCCATCCACTATGCCACCTAGCTGGGCACATAGTGAGAGCTTAATAAATGCTTTTTTATTCATTCATTCACAGTTGCCTAGCTGGTTTGTCTAGGATAGGATTCTAGAGGGAAGGACCCACAGTGGCTGTCTAGTCTGACTCCCTCATTTTGCAAATTAGGAAACTGAGGCCCAGAGAGATTGAGAGACTTAAAGATGATTCAGATCAGAATCTGAACACAGATCTACTGACTTCAGACACGGCGACCTTTCTGCTGCACCAGGTGTCCGAGGGGGACCTGAGGAGGTTCTCCATCACAGTACCACGCTGCCCCTTATTACTGTTAATGTTGTTGTTGTTAACTTATCCCCCAATATCTGCAGGCAGTTGAGGCAGAGCTGGGAGGCAAACAGGCAGATTTGGGCATAATGATAAGAAAAGCTTTCTAGCAATGAGATCTGTCCAAAGTTGAAGGGTTGCCTCTGGAGGTAGTGAGTTCCCCGTCATAAAATTTAATTCAGTTCCACAAGCATTTATTAAGCACTTTCTATGTGCCGGGCACCAGGAATAGAGAAACAAAAAGGAGGCAGTCTCTTCCCTCAAGGAGGCAGGGCAGGTGGGTGGGAACAACAGAAGTGTATAAATACAAATGTATAGAAAGTATATACAATGTAATTTGGTGCTTGGAAAGAACGAGAAGTAAGAAGCCTCATGAAGTACCTACAATTTGATTTGCCAGGCTCTGTGCTAAGCAAGCACTCTGCAAAGATGATCTCGCTTGCCCGTGAAGCCAGGGTGACGGGGGCAGGCTCTGCGGCACTTGCTGCCTGCTGGGCTGGGCAGACAGGAGGGCGGCCCTCGAGGGCCAGAGGCCAGGCCTACCTTGCACTTGCGTCTGGTACACGATGAAATAATTGGTCGTCCCACAGCTCTCATACTCTTCGCCACCACATTTCTGGGCACAGAGCTGCTCATCTTCCTGATCGTGAAGGCGGAAGCGAGTATTGGGGAAACCACAGTGGCAGGCCTTCCCCCCCCAGGGCTGCCAGGGGGGTACTCCTGGAGGAGGAAAGAGCATCAGTGAAGGTTGGCTTGGGTCCTGGACACAGCAGGACAGTGGTGGGCAGTGCCAGGTCCTGTAGGCTCTTTGCACCACCAAGCCAGAGCTGGATTCAGAAATCTCACTCCTGACACTTAGAAGCTGTGTGACCTTGGGGACCTTAACCTTCCTCATCTATGGAATAAGGTTACTAGTGCCCATGGTACCCACCTTAGGGCAGGTGTGGGGCTCCAGGAGATAATGGACCAAAAGCAGTCTGTAAATCCTCATGTTAATGTCATTAGTATTTTTATTATCACTGTCATCTCATCTTATGGAGGGATAAGCTGCCCTCTTGGCTAGCTTTAATAGATTTAAAACAGAACTAAAACTTTGAGGACATCATCTATTTAATGTTTTGGGGGGGTTGACATAGGGGGATACAATTTTTTTGTGGTTGAATAAAAGTACTAGAACTTAAGTTCATTTTAATGGGCTTGCTTCTTAGTATTTTTATTAGCATTTTAAAAATAAATATCAGTTATAATTATTAATATTAGTAGTAATAGTAATTAATAGGTATAGGAATAGTAAAACTATAAATGAGGCAGCTTGGCATCATGAACAAAGAGTCAGCCTTAGAGTCAAGAAGACCTAGGTTCCAGTCCTGTCTCTGATTCACAGGGCTGTGGGCCCTCAGTAGGTCCCAGAACCTCTCAGTGCCTCTAGGCAGAGATGGATGGACCAGGACTAGGACTTCCTTTCCTCTCCTACTGCAGGTCAGCTCCTTCTCTGCATCAGAACAGAGGCTGATCCAGAGACACATGGGCCTCCCTCACTGTTCCCCATGTTTGACCTACCATGTCTCCTGCCTCTGGGCAGGAGGTCTCCTCCGCTGGAAGGCAATCCTTTCTCACCTCCATCTCTCAGACTCCTAGTACCCCTCAAGGCTCAGCCTCACCATCTGTCCTATTGCTACTCACTGTAACCATTGGGCATTACTGTTTGCCTGCTGCCCCAGCACCTGGCACATGGTAGGCACTTACTAAAGGCATAATTAGCTTGATGCACACTAAAGACTCCTGAACTTTACCATCTCCCCTAAAGTTGAACCCTCCTAAATGTCTCACTTCTGTTTTTGTATTTACAGTGGTACTTAGCACAAGGCTTGCATGGTTTCCTCCCTCCTTCCTCCCTTCCTTCTCTCTCTCCTCCCTCTTTTTTTCCTTCCTTCCTTCCTTCCTTCCTTCCTTCCTTCCTTCCTTCCTTCCTTCCTTCCTTCCTTCCTTCCTTCCTTCATCTCTTCCTCTCTTCTTCTTCTCTCCTCTCTATTTTCTTGTTCCTCTCTCCCTCTTCCTCCCTTCTTTCTCTTTCCTTCCTTCTCTCCCTCCCTCCTTCCTTCCTTCCTCTGTCTCTTCCTCCCTTCCTCTCTCCCTCTGTCCCTCCCTCCTTTCTTCTCTCCCTTCCTTCCTCCCTTCCTCTTTTCCTTCCTTCCTCTCTTCCTCCATCCCTTCCTCTCTCCCTTCCTTCCTTCCTTCCTTCCCACATATCCATTCACATATGCACACATCTGCTGCTCTGTTCTTCTTTCCAGCAACAACTGACTACTGTGCAAATTTGTCCCTGGGAGGCAGGTCACTAAAAGCCCAGGGACTGCATCTTCCATGACCTCATTCGGGATATTAATGCACAGAGTTATGAGGGAACATTCTGGGACTGACAGGCAATTTCCCAGCCGGGCCTCCGTGGTAGCAGGTTAATCAGGGGCCCCACTTTATTTACACCTTGAGCAGCTAGCCTCCAGAGGGAGCAGCCACACTACCTGGAGCTGGGTGCCCAGTCATGGCTCAGGTTTAATTGCTGGGGACAGGCAGGAAGGGTGACATTTCTGGGTGCTTAGGGCTGTTCCTTTAGGGACAGCCCAATCTTAGTGGCAGCAATGTTTAATGGGCAGTACTGGACTTGGAGCTGGGTGAGACCCTGACATTTACTAGCTAGGTGAATTTGGGCAAAGAATTGTACATCTGAGCCTCAGTTTCCCCATCTGTAAAATGGAGATAATAATGACTCTGGTAATTCTGGGGCTCAAATAACCTAATGGATACAAAGTAATGGGAAAATATTAAAGCATGATATAAATGGCAGTTGTTGGGTTTTGTTTTTTTTTTTTAACTTGGAAAGCCAGTATGTTTAAGTGGCAAACTTGGCATCAGGGAGACTTGGGCTCACATTTACCCTGGACTTTTGCCAACTGTGTGACTATATAAATCACCTAACCTCTGAGCCTGAGAGATAATAATTATCTGTAGATTCTACATCTAAGACTCGAATAAGATCATGTCTGTAGAGTGTTCTGAAAGCTTAGTGCACTAGAGAAAGACTGATCGAGGTTCACTCATCTTGAAGCTTCTTTCTAGCTCTAAAGTCTATGATCCTTTGATTCCAATACTCTAAGACCTCCACACATTTGTTCAAGCTGTGCCATATGCCTGGAATGCCCTCCCTCCCTTTCTTCATCCTTTAAAGATCCATCCTTTAAAGTCCAACTGAAGGGTAAAGACTGTCCCCCTCAGTCCTCACATAGCACTGTATTTTACAGCTGTCCTTAAGGAACTTATCATGGCATAATATATTCTAGCCACCTACAGTGGTATCTCATTCCCCTACCACATTATAATTTCCAAGGCAGGATCGTGTCTTTTTTCTAAACTTCATATCTCTCCCAGGGCCCAGAACAATGTTCTACACATAGATAGTGTCTAAATAATGCTCATCATACTTTGCTGCATTTCTTTGCCTGTGCAGATATGATACATTGTCTTGCCTGTGTTGGCTGGTGCTAGAAGGGGCTTCATGGGGTGGGGGTGCAGGTAGGAAGCACCTTGGATTTAGGGGAGTCAGGGGATCTGAGTTCACTTACTAACCATGCTGCAAAGTCACCTTGTGACTGTGGGCAAGTCACTTCAACTCTGAGCCAATTTTCTTATCCATAAAATGGGCATAATGATATTTGTGGCACCCATGTCATGGGATAGTTTTGCCTGAAATAATAATGTCTAGACTCCAGAGCTTCAGTCTTTTCTCCCTTCATACTTTGACCATCCTAAGTTCTATCTTCTAAGGACCTGGCTACATGTTTGGGTTTGATGTAATAGAGAGTGTCCATTAAGGGCTCCATGGCAGAACAGAGAAAGCCCTATCCCAAGAGTCAGGAGACCTAGGTCCTAAATATGATTCTGTGGCTGATGGAACCTTAGAAAAGTGACTTCCATTTTCTCAGCTCAGTTTCCTCATCTGTATTAAAATGAGGCTGGTGGACAGATAATGTGGTCTAAATGGAAGGTCTTTCTCAACTCTGATCTTCTTGGTTATAGTTTAACACTCTGTTCTAAGGCCCCTCTCAGCTCTGACATCCCCTGTCCTGAGGCCCCTCCCAGCCCTGACATTCCATGTTTTAACAGCTCTTTGAGCTATGAAATATTAAATACCAAGCTCCCTCCTGGCTCTGATATTATAAGTCCTATATAACATCCAACCTTACCCTCTTCTCCCCACCTCTGCCCTCCACCCCCAGGATTTCTTTGTTTCTTGGGGAAGAAGAATTTGCAAGGGATTGACATTTAATTCATTCTAGGGAAGGGGAGACAGTTTCTAGACAGGAGGAAATCAATAGCCGCTTTGAGGGAGGAATTGTAGAAGGAGGTCTGGCTTTGGATCCAGAAGATCTCGGTTTGAATCCTGGCTTATGATACTTACTGGCTGGAGGAGCTTGGGGAAGTGATTGCTTCTCTAGGCTTTAGGTCTCTAGTATAAAAGGGAATGGGACAACATAGCTTCTCTATTCCCTTCCAGCTTCAAATCAGTGAGTCGAGGACCCTAGCTGTGCGTCCTTCAGCAAATCACTTTATTTCTCTGGGCCTCAGTTCTTCATCTGTAAAATGAGGGGATTGGACCAGATGGTACTTGAGGCCTCTTCTAGTTCTCAGTCTATGAACTTATAACTTAACCCCTCAGTCTTTGGTTTCCTCTTCTGTAAAATGAGGGTGTTAGATGAGGTAACCTCTGAGTTCCCTTTCAGCTATAGATACGTGCTCTTGTGATTTATGCTTTTTGGCCTCAGTTTCCTTTTCTGTAAAAATAAGGGGGTAGTATAAAAGGACTCTGAAATACCCTCCAGTTCTATATTTAGGACCTCTGCTAACTTTGACTTATGTGCCTGCTTCTGTGATGGGCATCTTGGAGATTGGAGAAAATTTTAAGACCTAGATCCTGCCCAGCAGAAGCTCACAGTCCAGCTGAAAAGCCAGGAGCATACATCTAATCTCCTTGTCCCTAACTTCCAAGACCAAAGTTCCCCTACCTGGGCACCACTTCCTTACTGCTGTGGCTTCCCCTAAGAGAATTCAAGCTCCTTGAGGCCAGGAACTAGCTTATTTTGTCCCAGTGCTTCCCACAGTATTTTTTCATGCTTTTTCATTCATTCATTCGTTCATACATACATACATACATACATACACTTTCCACCTATTTATATGCAAGGAGGTCAAATCAGTCAATACTTAAAGAAATTAATTCAGGCTAGTCACTGGAAGGTCAAATACTGAAGCTGAAGCTTAACTACTAATGAGAAGACAGGACTCATGGGAAAAAACCCTGGTGTTTGGAAAGATTGAAGACAAAAGGAAAAGGGGACTGCAGAGGATGAGATGGATAGATAGTGTCGTGCGAAACAATGATCATGAACTTTGACAGACTTCAAGAGATAGTGGAGGAGAGAAGAGCCAGGTGTGCTATGGTCCATGGGGTCAATGAAGGAGTGTACAACAAAAATACATAGAAGAGCATCCATCCCCCCCCCAACCATGGACAGCCACCACAGGATGGACACACACACACACACACACACTCCCCTCACCCCCATTAGCTCCAGCTTGGATATTACTGGCCCACTCACTTTCTCTGTGCAGAGGTCGACACATTTGTCCACCGACATGTTCAACATCATGGCTGTCACAGGTAAAGCCAAGGAGAGGTTGTCAGGCCTGTGGAAGCAGCCTCGGAATATGGCACTGCCATCTGCAGGATCAAAGGGAGAGAATAATTAACCCCTGGGGGTCAGAAAGGAAGGGTGAGTTAGTCAAAAAGCTTCTACAAGACTTGGCACAGAAAGGCTAACCACCTTGCCCAAAGTCACACAGCAAATCCTTAGCAAAAGCTGAAATGAAACTGCTGGCGGGATCCATCCTGAAGCCCCGGTTCTACTATTTTACTGCAGAAGCACTGAATGCCAGAACCAGACATCATCTTTCAGTTCAGTTCCTCTCATGCCCTCTCAGTCCCTCAGTCAATAAACATTTATTAAACACCTCCTATGTGTCAGGCACAGGTGGGCAAACTGAAACCCAGAGAGAGCTAATAGCTTATTTAAGACCTCAGCAAGTCAGTTGCAAAGCTGTGGCAAGAACCGAGGTGTCCTGATTATCTAATAATACTCTCAGTTGATTTTTCTATGATTTTTTAGGCTTACACATGTATTACTCTCCATAGCCCTGTGAGGGAGGAAGTAGAAACAGTATTCTGTCCATTTTCCCCCAGAAAGGAGATGTAGCTTGTCCCACGTGGAAAGTAGAAGAGTGAGATTTGATCTCTGTCAGGGCTACAGAGACCAGAGGGTCCATTGTTAGTGCTGAATTAGATAGAGCCCAGTGACGCTGTTGGGGGAGGGCTGGGGGGGGATTTGATGAGCACCTGGATTCTCTGGTTCTTTGTGCTCCCCTCCAAAGGAGCCTAGCCCCTCCTCTCCAGCAGCTGCAGTTCCCCATTCATGGAGACAATGCCCACCATTGTCTGTTGGCAGGATCTCAGCTGCCCAGAGGGAAGCACAAAGCTGTGGATGTAGCCCAGGGCCCCTTCTCTCTGGGAGTGAGCTTTGGGCTCAGCCTTGCCTGTGGGGGTTGGGGGAGGCAGGGAGGGAGGAAGGCAGAGATCTGGCTCAGGAAAGACCTCTCAGGCCCAGCTCCTGCCTTGGGACTTGGAGCAAGTCAGCACTCTTCTCTGAGACAACATGGTTCTCATGTTTTCTGTTCTAAGGCCCCTCCCAGCCCTGACATTCCCTCTTCTAAGACCCTTCTCAGCTCTGACATTCCCTGTTCTAAGGCCTCTCCCAGTTGTGACATCCCCTGTTCTAACCCCCTCCCAGTTTAGTATGGAGAAGCCTCAGGGTAGGTAATAGCTATCTACATCTAACCATTTACAAGGCTGACTCCTAGAAGAGGGATGAGGCTGATTTGGCCCAGGGGGCAGAACAAAGAACAACAGATAGAAAGGGCAGAGACAAATTGAGCTTTGTGGGGGGTGGGGTGGGATGGGTGGAGACAGACAATCTAAGAACCCAGGTGGAGAGGGAGACTCTGAGGGGTAGTAAGTGCTCTGCCTACACATGGATCATAATCTTAACAGCACCATAAACCTCTGGGGCACATGGGTCTCCTTCCAAGGGGGGAATACAATGTGGAGAAAAAAAAAAGAGGGCCGTGCTGGAGCAGAGAAGACCTGGCTTTCCATTGTAGCCCTGCCACCAAAACCCATGGGCTTTGGGGGCAGCTGCCTCCTCCCTCTGAGCTTCTGTTTCCTCATCTGTAAAATGTGGGGGTGGGGCTCCTATGGTCCCCTCCAGATCTAGACCTATGAAGTTGTGACCTCACCTTCTAATTTGACAGATAAGAAAGTGGCTCAGTCAAAAAACATTTATTAAGTACCTACTATGTGCTAGGCACCATGTTAAGGTAACATAAACAAAACATATACATAAGGTAACATACAAAAAAGAAAGATGGTTAGGTCCCATGGAAGTGATGTGACTTGTCAGAGCCACTCAGTTAGAAAGGGTCAGTCTATAGTCTAGGACTAGATAAACAAGATGTCAGGTAGGTTGGTTATATACTGCCTTCACAATTCTTTCTCCATTTAGAGTCAGTGGCCACTGAGGTCCCTTCCTGCCATGTGATTTCTTGGTTCTGTGATTGCCAGATCCCATGATGATTTTGCCAGAAACCCTCTCAAAGGCCTCCCAAGATGGGAAGGATGGGTGTAGGGGTGGGGTGGTGATTGGAGGAGATAAAGTCCCAGTGACCTGGATTCCATAAATGTCAATACTGCATTTGCTGCATGGCTGGGACAGCACTTGGCCCTGGCTGTATGAGAGCTAGAGGGGACCAGAGCTGCTGCTCTTTGATTTGGGGTGACTGCTGAGCTGGAGAATGGGACAGCTGAGATCCACCTGGTGGGACCTGAGAAATCCTATCATCTCATTTGTTGGGAATTCACAATGACTGCTCCCATGTCACCGAGGCACAGCATCAAGGTGAGAAGGGGAAGAGTACTCTTTGGTATGAAGACAGCAGCCAGCCCCCTGGGTAATTAGGCTGGACTCTGCTGTGTTAAAGAATTCACTGGGGAATGAACCAGGCCATGGAACTGTGGCTTATTAAAGGCTACCTATAATCAGAGACGAATTAAATTAGCCCAATGATCCAGAGATAATGCGAACTCTCTATTTTTAGTGACTAGCAAAGAAACCTGCAGCATAGAGGCATTTTTAACTGCCTCCCAGCTATCCACGTCTGAAGTCATCCCCAGGAACAGGGCAGGGGACTGGAAACTGGTGAATTTCACTGTAGGAGGGAGTCAGTCACTCAGTCATTCAACTAGGGCTTGCCATGTGCCAAGTATTGTGCTAAGGGAATATAAAGAAAGGCAAAAATTGTCTCTGATCTTAAGGCACTCACAGTCTAATGGGGGAGAGACAACATATATATATATAGCTTTTAGGCAATTGGGGTTAAGTGACTTGCCCAGGGTCACACAGCTAGTAAGGGTCAAGTGTTTGGTCTGAGGCCGGATTTGAACTCAGGTCCTCCTGACTTCAGGGCCGGTGCTCTATCCACTGTGCCACCCAGCTGCCCCGAGAGACAACATATAAACAATGAGGCACATACAACACGTATGTATACAATGGCTGGTAGAGGCAGTTAGGTGGTACAGTAGATAGATCACTGGGCCCTGGAGTCAGGAGGACTTGAGTTCAAATCTGGCCCTCAGACACATATTTTCTAGCTGTGTGACTCTGCACAAGTCACTTAACCCCAATCGCCTCACCAAAAAAAAAATAAAATAAAAGGAAATGGTAGGTAATCTCAGAGCAAAGGCACTCATCGGGAAGGGGAAGGAAGGGTTTGGAGGGGGGAGAGGGAGATAGGGACCAGGAAAGGCCTTCAGAAAGTGGGGTTGTCTTGAAGGAAGCCAGGGAAGCCAGAAAGCAGAGGTGAGGAGGGAGAGCATTCCAGGTGTGGGGGAGTCATCCATACCAAGCATGGTGGTTAGAGAACCATGCACTTAGAGTACTTTAGAAACACCAGCTTTACTATGAATAGCATAGAATGGAAGCAGGTGGGACAGTGGAGGGAACACTGTCCCTGGAGTTCAGACATGCCCTCAGACACTTACTACCTGTATGACCCTGGGTGAGTCATTTAATTATTGTCTGCCTCAGTTGCCTCCTATGTAAAATAAGGATAAGAATTGCCTCTACCTGCCAGGGCAGTTGCGAGGGTCAAATGACATGATATCTGTGAAATGCTTTGCAAACCCTTAAGTACTATATAAACACTTGCTATTGCGTGGATAGACAGCTAGCTTTGGAGGCTGCTGTGGGATCAAGTCATGCTGCTGACACATATCAACTGTGGAAACCTCCAGGTCACTTTCTAAGACTCTAAGAGAAATGCAGCTGAGGTGCACCAATGGAGGAGGGGATTTCCACACCAGGAGCTCGCTGTCAATCATTCAATTCAACAAGCATTTATGAAGCGCCTACAGTGTGCCAGCCATAATGCAGTCACTGGGATACAAGGCCAAAACAAAACAATCCCTGCCCTCCAGGAGCTTACATTCCATGGAGGAGAAGACAAATGAAATCACAGAGACTGATTCCTGATGAGACGGTAGGTTGGGTCAAAAGCAAAGACTCCAACAAAGAAACAAAAACTGTGACTTAGGTAATAGAAGTATATGTTGCCCCAGAAAACTCTTCAAGACTGTTACTGGATGAGTGAATGACTGCAGTGATGGAGGGAAAGTTCCTCACATCAGTAAAATCACTCTGTCTGTCTGTCTGTCTCTCCTTTTCTCTCTCCCTTCCTCTCTTTGTCTCCATCCTTCCATCTGTCTGTCTGTCTACCTATCTACTTTCACATACACACCCATACAGACAGCCAGCCTCAATGTCAAGAAGACCTGGACAATTGTCTTATTGCTAACATATTCGATCTATGTGACCCTGTTAACTCTCTTAAAACTAGCAAAACCGATGCCATTCTGCATTGATCAAGGGAGCCTGGGAGTTCCCTCTACCAATGAAATTACAGGTCCAGATACCACCTTTCCCCTCCTTACCAAAAGATTTAATTGAATTGGAGTGCAGCTTTCCAATGAAGAAATCATAACAATTTGCACTCATATGAAAAAGTGCTCCAAATCATTGTTGATTAGAGAAATGCAAGTTAAAACAACTTTGAGATATCATTCTACACCTATCAGATTGGCTAAAATGATGGAAGGGGAAGGTGACAAATGTTGGAGGGCATGTGGAAAAATTGGACACTAATTCACTGTTGGTGGAATTGTGAACTGATCCAACTATTTTGGAGACCAATCTGGAATTATGCCCAAAGAGTTATTGAAGTACTTATGCCCTTTGACCCAATAACACCACTTCTAGGTCTATTTCCAAAGACGATTAGGGGAAAAGGAAAAGAACCTATATGTTCTAAAATGGTTATGGCAGCTCTCTATGTGGTGGCAAAGAACTGGAAATTTCAGGGATGCCCATCAACTGGAGAATGGCTGAGCAAGTTGTGGAATATGTTTGTGATGAACTATGACTGTGCTGTAAGAAATGATGAGCTCAGTGATCTTAGAAAAACCACGCATGAAATAATGGAGAATAAAATGAACACACCCAAGAGCACATTGTATGCAGTAACAGCAATGTCGTTTGAAGAATAACTGAGTATTAT